TAGGTTATATCTATTATCTTCAGGATTTGGGCAATCTAATTGCTCGTGCGTCGACGCAATCTTGTGAAGTCGATGCTCGATTAGCAGAGCTCTCTCAATCGCGGAAGTTTACTATGGAGACCGGTGATCTGATAATCTCGGCTGCACGAGACATCAAAGACGAGATATCTTCGGCTCGAGCTGCGATCGTATTGCCTAGAAAAAAGTAAGGCAATTGTATAGCAGTTGTACTATGAGTGAAACGTGCAGTTCAGATCAAGTGTTCATCTGAGTTTAACGAGGGAGGCAGTCCTTACTGGTGGAGGAGATATCTAGAGCTTACTATTTCAGGAGCTATATAATGGATGGGACGGGTGGTAGAGGGCGATATCGCTGCAACGGGTGATAGCAAATTGCACAACACTGCCCTCACCTTCGACCATGGAGGGTTTCTCCCCTCAGAAGCGGAGGGTGTGGGGGTTAACCCTCTGCGTAATCTGTTTCGGTTAGAAGTGCGTGATGGATGAGTTAAGGAAATGTATAAAGGGGCCTGGTTGTGGAAACAATAACTAAAAATAAGCAAGTTAGAGGTTATTCAGCGAAGCAAGAAGGTCTTGGAGAAGCAAGAGAAATTGGGAATGGTGTCAAACTTTTTTTTGAAAAGCAAAAAAATTTCTTTCATGGAGCGTAGGCTCCGATGCAGCCTCAACTGAGCCTCCACCGCTCTACTAATGTCATTTTCACGCATTTGTAATGCTGAACTATATGTTTCATGAAAGCGCAGGAACACTGTTCCAGGTCCTTATTGGAGTTGTACAATTTTCCCCCAACACGTCGTTTCAATCCTCCATTGCCGCAAGATCAACTATTATCGTTCTACATTTCAAGTTGCAAACTGGTAAGGTTCTAAAGTTTTTCTAAGAATGCTGCGATTCCTGTATTGTGCGTTGTATTCGTGAAAAGGTTTTCAGGTTGACGGAAGATGCTTTTGTTGTGTTTGTGGGGTAGGGGAGGAGGCCGTTTTCTCATTAAATTTCAGCGGGGATTAGACCGAATCATGCTATTTGACATTGCTTGCTTGGTCGCGTCCGTGCTCCCGATAGACGCTTGTACACTTGACGCACGATTGTGTACGAAGTATTTGTGCAAATCAAATAGCATTGTCCTGTTTAGACTTTCCAATGATAGTGAGAGTGAGGGAATCACTGTTGGACCCGAAAGTTATCATCATCACGAACTGGAGGTTCTTGAATGGAAAACGCGTGGAATCATCCCTTGTCTCCTTTGGGTTAATTCGTAACTTGAAGAAAGAAAGGGTCCATTCCAGGGGAGGGCATCATGATGTGGTTTTCCCAGAAAGCTACGGTCACTCCAAGCCGGCGGGGTGTAGGTCTAGGAGTATGGGTGTGGAGGCGAGGGTGTAGTGTGTAAGGGCTATAAAAGCTGAAAATGATCGGGTTACACTAAGTTCTCTGAGAAAACATGATAATGCATGCCTTCTTGAACTGGGAACCATGTCCAGAGATATCGATTCGATTGGAGTTGGGGATCTTCACAAGTCTAACTTATTTTTAAGCATATGCGGATCGTGAGAATTTAGCCGGACCTCAGTAGTGAGACAGGGGTCAAAAAGATTGGGTAACGTCGGTCTGTTCAAGAGGATCGCTCGTGCAGATGCTAGTCATTCACGTTGCTTGGCTCATTTGAATCTACGGAATAACACTTGATATGATTTAGACGACACCTTTCAAAAGCATTGGAAAGGGTTTCTTCTGTCCGCCAATGTTTATGTCTTAACAGGTTTCCTAGCTTAACTCTCTGTTTTAAGGTTTGTGCATCGTATCACATGGTATCAAAACAAACCACTCCTCAAGGATTATCGATTACAGTTGCTGAATGTCAGTTAGCTTTTTTGGAAGAAGTGCTACAGCAATTAGATGCCGCAATGGCACACCTGCAGAAATTGATAGAAAACTTAGAGATATGCAAGACTCGACAACAGTGACTTTTATGTTTCAATACATTCCTCTTTACTTCCGTACATTCACTTTATCAGGTGATATGGAGTTTTATTTCATTGATAGTTTCCACTAGAGCTCCGTAAGGATTATTTATTTAGGAGATGTGGTTATTTGTGTTGTTCCCATGCTTCTTATCTGCTTTCATGCTTTTTCGGTGCAGATCTAGAGTCTAGATGTGAAAAAATTAAGATGTTCCAGTTTCTTAGTATTTATTGGATTTTTTGTAATGTATTTAAAACAAAGCAGGCGTCTTGCCGTGTATAAAGATATGAATATTTTGATCAAGGTTGATGCATATGCCTTTTAACGTTCAGTGGTGAGTCCCGTACCCTACCGGTGGTCAAAAGATAACATTCCTGCAGTTATATGAGAGCTCATTGCAAAAAAAATGTTTTCGTTCGTCGTCATCTATCAATTCCATTCTCTTTTTCAATGGTTTGTTTGGTGCCAGCTGCCTGCTCGGATCTCGCTGCTCGTTCAGAGCGCTGCAAGTGTCCTCGGCATGTACCCGTTCACAGTATTGATTTTCGTGCGCTTCCTACGTTGTAGAATTTCTTTACAACGGTGGCCTCCAAATGTCCTTTAATATATAGACCCATGTCATTCCTACTTAACTTGTTCTTAAAAGTACCACTTGTTACATTTTCTCATTTTATTTCCAAGGTTGTTGCTGATTAGATCTGGACTTATCCTACGAACAATTTTTATTTCAGTTGCTAAAAGTGTTTTTCAAACATACTAGTGTTGATTTGTAAACAAACAGTTTTACAAAAGATCGATATCTCTTATCATTCCACTTTGTGTAATGCAAAGTAATTTGTTGCTATGGCGACCTTCTTTCTTGAAAAGAGTCTCATTCAACCACTTTTTACATATCCTTTTGATAACATATCAACTCTGACTTTGCGGCAGCACAACAGTTTATGGAGGACGAAGTTGTACTGCGTATGCAGTAAATTCCTTTACTACTACACTTCACTTTACTGTGTACAAGAAGCACAACTAATTTCAGTGTTTGA